TGTTCCGAGTAGCTGAATCTATAACAACAACGTGTGACGTCAGGATGACCTGGCCAATTACAACTCGCCTCCTGCCTCAGCTAACAGCATCCAATAGGGGCAGCATTTACCTATATTATACACAAGACGAATATAGCTTCAGTAGTCCCGTCGTATATCTATACATCGCATAATATAATATTTTATCAGAGTTGTAGATATGATTTGGTGTCGAGGAACACTCCATCGTGAGACAACGATGACTGTACACACTGCACAGGAGTTCACACCAGGCTCCAACAATGGGTGTGCACGTTTGGCTGAGAAATTACCACTCTCACTCATCCAATTACCACACTATTGACAGTCTTCACTGCAACTACTGACAGTCACCACAACAACTCAGTAATCACCATTACCACTGATAGCCATTACTACCACTTGCACTGACACCCCACCACTACCACTACTGACACCCCACCACTACCACTACTGACAGTAATCAACACTACCATTGACAGTCATCAACACCCTGCTGACTACCGCAGATCGCCACCACAGTCACATTCGACTACCACCTTGCCTGACCCAAGAGCTGTGCTGTCACTGGTGATCTGGAGGAAGCCCAAGCCTGAGCCAGGTACCGGGTCGGGAGAAGGCCTCGTTACCCGCGCTGGTCGGGGTCGGACATTATACTTGTAGATGAGGACTGTTGCCGCAGCGCGCCCACGCCGCCGCCGTCCTCAGCGATGGTGCCCATCTTCCCGTCTCCTTGGTACCAGTCGGCCTCCACCACCAGCTGTGGAGGAACGGATCACCTCGTCTGTGTACTCTCGTAGTGTCCAGCCTTTGCTCCCGAGTCCCATATTACTTGCTGTCGACTGGTTAATGCCGTCTTATCATCCTTTTTCTTATTCTCAAACTATTTATTGTATTCACGTCTACTATCTCTCTCCCTCTATTCCTTTCTATTTGCTCGGACTTTCTGTTCTTAAAAGATTTCCCCATTTTGCACCCGCAAGATAACGTAAATTTTAGCGTTGGTAAATGTTAATCTACTTGTTTGATGAGCTGTTCCCTTGAGACAGTTAAGCAAGTCCCAGCTGGGTCTGGGTACAAGTGACAGGATGAACAACCCAGCGAGTTTGTATTCTTGTTGAGTAGTGTTGAACATGCTGCTATGGCGGTGTTCATGCACAGTATGAGTGACGCTTCCCAATAAACTCGACCTTCTGGACAAAATATAAATATATACAATTCAATTCAATTTCTTTCTTTATTATGCACCCCATACCCATCCGGTGGGCGGTGGTATAAATGATTACAGAGGCACATAATCGGTTCAGGAACTGAACCCTCTAGTTCGTTTAGCTAAGCAAATAGTATATATATTTTTGCTCACTACCCTTACGCTGAACAAATTCTTTCACACACCCTTATAACTAAACTGAGCCTCAAGGTTCCAGGTATACTTGCGCTAACTTGTCTTATATTGAACTTATTTTCAGTATAAGATATTGTTCTTATATTGAACATATGTTCAATATAATATATTCTTATATTGAACGTATGTTCAATATAAGACAAGTTTCTGGAGAATCTTAAATGTCGTTACTGTGTGTCGTCGATGCCATCTGTTGTCAAGTGTTGTGAGGTTGGTCTTATTTAGTCTTTCTCCAGTTCAGTCCTCCCAGTTCAGTCCTCCCAGTTCAGTCCTCCCAGTTCAGTCCTCCCAGTTCTAACACAACCATTGTATACCTCTGAAATATTTCGCTGAAAGTGGAAGTTTCCTTTTCACTTAAAGTTATAAACTGCTTCTTTAAGTGGAAGTTCCACTCTGAGGCTGCATACTGAAGAATGGGCATCCTGTGTCGTGTACATTGCCTTACCTTGCATTTATGTGGGTTGAAATCGAATAGCCATTTTCCAGCATCTATGTCTAAAGATTATAAAAGTCGTCCTGTATATTTTTACTATCCACTTGTGTTATTAACTTTGCATCATCCATAAACATTTATATAAAGGCATCAGCTTGCTCATTTTGATCACTTATTTACGCCAGAAATAGTATAGGACAGTAGTGACTTATGTGTGTCTTTAGTACCCCGTATTGTGTGAGGTGCGGCAAGTGGAGAGGCCGGGGCTGTGTTCCTCCACTTGTGGCACTCCACTCAGAGGCGTTGCCTCTCACAGAAACTCTGTTGCCTATCAGAGAAATACTCTCCAATACAACTGATGTAGCAACCTAGTGGTTACTCTGATTTGTGTATATTTAGTAATTGTATTTACTATTTGTGCCTATAAGGTCCAGCTATTAGTGCATGGTGTTTAGGGAGCCGGCGGCTGAGCGGACAGAACACTGGACTCGTGATCCTGTGGTCCCGGGTTCGATCCCGGGCGCCGGCGAGAAACAATGGGCAGAGTTTCTTTCACATTTTCTTTCTTTTAAGGAGGCCTGGTCGACGACCGGGCCGCGGGGACACTAAGCCCCGGAAGCACCTCAAGGTAACCTCAAGGTAGGTAACCACCCTGATGCCCCTGTTACCAAGCAGTAAATAGGTACCTGGGAGTTAGTCAGCTGTCATGGGCAGCTTCCTGGGGGTGGTTGGGTGGAGGCTTGGTCGAGGACCGGGCCGCGGGGACACTAAGCCCCGAAATCATCTCAAGATAACACTAAAAAAGTTCTTTCTAATATCTGTGGCTCATTTGGGCACTCAGTTTCCACCTGTGTCCCCTTGTGCGTGTGCCCCTTGTGTTAAATAGCCTGTCTTTATCTACCCTATCAATTCCCTTGAGAATCTTGAATGTGGTGATCATGTCCCCCCTAACTCTTCTGTCTTCCAGCGAAGTGAGGTTTAATTCCCGTAGTCTCTCCTCGTAGCTCATACCTCTCAGCTCGGGTACTAGTCTGGTGGCAAACCTTTGAACCTTTTCCAGTTTAGTCTTATCCTTGACTAGATATGGACGCCATGCTGGGGCTGCATACTCCAGGATTGGCTTGACATATGTGGTATACGAAGTTCTGAATGATTCCTTACACAAGTTTCCGAATGCCGTTCTTATGTTGGCCAGCCTGGCATATGCCGCTGATGTTATCCTCTTGATTTGGGCTGCAGGGGACAGGTCTGGCGTGATGTCAACCCCCAGAGTCTTTTTCTCTCTCTGACTTTTGAAGAATTTCATCTCCCAGATGATACCTAGTATCTGGTCTCCTGCTCCCTACATCTATCTTCATTACATAAACACCTACATGTGTGTGTGTGTAAAAGAATAGGGCTGTTGTGTGTTTTATGCCCCACATGTAAGGTCCTGCAGCTTTTCAATATTAACGTGCATTTATCAGGCTTTGCACCATTGGTTTGGGGTTGGGTTTAAAACCTGTTCGCTACCGGAGTAATATAACGGAAACCAACCGGCAAGTTTACTCTAGTCCTGAACACAATTCAAGAGAAAAGTAACCTTTGGGTGTATACACACAGAGGAGTATACCGCTCGCTATACATTCCTTCTGATAATTAGATCATTTGTAAATACAGGCAGATCCTTTTCCAAGGCTGTTTTATATATTTTAAAGTGTTTATTTTTATTGTATTAGTGAGCATTAATCAGTGCCTAAATTAATCAGTGTTATCATCACCCAATAAACTTAAAATGCAGCTATTAGGCTTGATTTATTGATTTAGTAGTAATATCTTGCTTTAGATTAGTATCCCATTTATAAATCGTTTTCTGATAAATCTTAATTAAGAGAACGTTATGTTTGGGTAACTCGCATGTTTTTTGGGGGCTACTTTTTGGTTTTTATATTCTTTTGTGTTAGGTTTTCACAAATCTGTTAAGTTTATCAGGATCCCACTAAACAAGGGCTGGACATGCCAATGACCAGCGACCATAGGCAATTGGGCATGTTTGTTGTGAAGTGTCCATAGGCACGACGCGCCCTCCAAACACCTCTTTGCAATAGGATGTTGGACAACACTGTGGAGGACCTCGGAGTCTGGACACACCTGGAGGGAGGTGGCTGCATGTGGCCAGGAAGGAGGAGCTCCCACTGGGTATATCCTCCTCCTGCCTCTAGTGCCACGGTACCCAAGGTGTAGTCATACGGAAAACGCTAACGCTACGCGTACTAGTGGCTATACAAGAATGTAACAACTCTTGTATATATCTCAAATAAAATAAATTAATAACTGCCTGACAAAGAGTAAACATTACTCTTGTTATTGTACATTGTACAGTGTACAATATATTACATTGTACATTACTCTTATGTTCTTTATACACACATTCTTTTGAATAAAAATTAGAATTTTGAAATAGAAAGAAATTTTCATGCACTCTTCAAATGGTCAGACGACTGGCAAGAGCATTTAAAAATTGCAAAATGTTAGGCCTTGCATGTAGGGCTTACCAGTGAACATCACAACTATCATGTCAACACCACTACCATACAGCAAACTGATTAAGAAGAGGATCTATGAGTTTCGATCCACCAGTCATTGAAAGTTGCAGAACAAAAAGTTAGTAATAGTCAAGCAAAAGTCGTAACTGACCTGCACAAGTATCTGGAGCGGCTCCATCTGAGCTACAGTACCCAAGGACCTCTCCTTCATACAGGTGTATCTGCGTTGCAGGAACCTCAACACACAGCGACGTAAATCATTCGAGAACTAAGTCAACTCTCACACCAGGAAGTGTTAAGGGCCACAGGACTAACAACACTGTAAGCCAGGCATGACACGACTGATTCCATCCAAACGTTTAAAATGTTGAAGTTGGAAGATATTAATCCAGACCACTTCTTTAAACGCACACAATGGGCAACAGCTTCAAGCTCAAGGGAATAGAAAACAGGAGATGTTTTTCCACCCATGGGGTTATTAACCCATGGAACTCCCTACCCGCTGAAGCCGTATATGACCTCTACACTCCTGGCACTGCAGTACAAGCAATGGCACCTATGTCTCCCACTCTCCATAAGTTTCATTTCCTCGTCTCCAACAGGGCAAATAAAAATTATG